AAAAAAAAAAAAAAAAAGAGGATGAACAAAGCTGAGGACTGCAGTGGTTCCAGCTAAATGTGCTCGGCTTGAAGCAGGTTTCGATTGCTTTTGGTTCTAGTTTGCTTGGATTTCTTCTGCCCACTCAACCAGAGCAAAGCCAAAACAAAAACAAGGCCTCCTGCATGGGGCTAAGCCAAAGCCGCACTAACCTTCAGAGCCAAACCTAGAGCATCTTTCAAAAAGTGCAGCTCGGTGTCGGCAACTGCAGGCTCAGTCCACTGGCTCAATCCGAAAGTACGCCCGAATGGCCCACTGCAGAATGGAAGGTTTGTCTCTCAACCTACCTGCCCAAGGTGGTGCCTCATCTTGCAAAATCTATCATGGCCCGGATGATAGAGGGCGCCCGAAATACCATATGCATTCTTAAACATGGTGTAAGATTCTGTCAACGTTGTTGTACAACAACGGACGAATTGCTTGCACTTGCATGGCTTCTGAACATGAACACGCGCTGCAGTGGAGCCCAGGTGACATGGCACAATGTGGAGGATTTGCAGCTCACGGCTCCGTCCACTAAGTATGATCCCAAGCATAGTGCAAGGAAGACGGGTCAGACTTCCCACGCTTCATGACAGGTACCGTACATTATGCGCTCGATTGCTGGGGCAAACAAATGCTCAAAAGCATTCAGGCATCGAACTGCAAACGGGGAAGCACCGGCTTCCAGCTCCAAGATCCAGGCTCTGCTGACTGGGATGAAAGTCCCTTGCCAAGCACATATCACATCACCCGACAAGCCACGTGCATTCTGTATACTGAACACTCGCATTACTCAACGTGCACTGTGTCAGCGGCAGGAATCCCTGGTTGCACACCAGCAGATGTCAAAGTTCTAAACAACGGGTGGTGGATGCTAGATATGAGTTTGATACGAACATGCACAAGTGGTGCACGGCACGGTCTCTGATGGATCTCTACGGAACGCCGACTGACATCGTTTTAAAGCTCGATGGCTTCCAAAGATAGGTCCGCAGCCGCATCACTGCTAGGACGCTGGATGTCCGAGCATGTCTCAATCCCAGTGATCCAGAAACGATCTGAAGGCCGCTGATTCCGAACGAAGCTTAGCTTTCATAGCTTGAAAGAGCTAACAAGCTCCTGTCTCTCAAGACAGAGCAGAGAGCTCCGACAAGAAAGCACAAAAGCTTTCATGTAAGTCATTGATAAGACGAACAGCTTCTGGAAGCGTAGCGATCCCTCACCAAAAACACACAAATGAATTGTCACAACAAGTGTTGTTCTGCGTTTGGTGTTTTTTGGGTCCAGCTAAAGCCTTGCCAATATCTCAAGCATGACCGCTTCATGGACTTTGCAAGCGAAAGCGGCACCGCCTGGCGGCCGTGAGAGCTCTGCAGACCTCGGTTGTGTATGCCAGCTAGGCAAGGCCAACATTTTCATAATGACACAGCGCGTGCAGGAAAAGTTTCTTTTCGAATGCTATGATGTCAGCAAAGCACGATTCGTCTAAACGCCATCAAGGTCTCATCACTCCGTCACTCCATCAACATTTTAAGCGGCCAGCTGGTTGCATCTTGACTCTGGTATGGTGGGGAGGCCGATGCAAGGATTTGGGCAGCATTGGTTTTGCTAACAGGCTAGCTCAAGACAAAAGGCTAAAAAATGCAGATCAATTTCCGTCGACACCGCATAAGAATCCTTTGAGCGGTAAGGCTGACCAAAGCAGCAGTAGCAGCAACAGAAAAAAAAAATAGCATGGCCCTGAGCAGCCAGAGCACAGCACTTATGTCCAAGCGAGAAGCAAATCACGGCATTTATCTGGTGCGCATTTCTACAGCCTACGACAGGCTGGCGATGTCCCAATGATTCCGGACGGCATCGAGTATTCAGTTGGAGCAAATATCATAGCCAATATCATAGCCGAGGATCTAGGGAAAAATGATAGCGCAAAAAAGCCCGACATTTAAGCTTGCAACGGCATCAAAAATCACTGGACATGTACGTGTAAAAGCCTATGAGCCGCGGCGAAGAACGTTTGGCTAATTTCAACGTGCTGTTGAAAAACTAGAGGTGTTCGAGATTACTGGAACAAGCAGGAAAGCAAAAATACGAGTGCCTCGCAAGAGGCGAACAGCACCAAACAATGCTCAGGCTTGTACTCCATTTGTCTCTGCGCAAGGCCGCTGACCTTCATGCAGAGTAGATCTGGATGGAACGCATCACACAAAGCACCTGTGCCCCGACTCGGCTTACTTCTCATACAAAAGACTGGCTTTCTGACTGCAATTGTGCAAAGTCCTCACTACCACTCTGCTACAGTCGCAACCATGATTCAATGGATATCCTTCATACTTGTCATCAAAGTGAACCTCACGAGGGAGACACGCAATTCCGGCCGCAGTACACTACATGGGCTGCGAAATGCTTACGACAAGCAACAATTCAACTCAGGACTCTCAGGAATGCTTCAGACGACGATGCCGGACAAAAACTGAAGCTGCTGGAAGTACAACACACCCACTAAAGACGGATGGCAAAACGATTAGCGCAACATGAAACAAACACATCGCAGCACCATCTCTGAAATCCCTGCCTGCGGAGCGTGTGTCGGAGGAGGCGGTGGCGACTGCCCTAGCCTGGCAAGAGCTTAGCGCAACCCATTGTTTACCTGTAGCATACCCTGGGCTGCACAAAAGCTCTGATCTTATGCCCTGTTTGACCTCAGAAACTTACCACCTAGGCATGGTCAGGAAAACGAAAGTCATTTCTACGTTGAAGGGCGAATTCTCAAATTTGATCAGACAGTAAAGCAGGGAGAGGTCTTAACTCTGCGCTAGTAGTTCTGACATCACACCAGCAGAGCATCTCCAGTGCCCTCGAACTAACCTTAAAAAAGGAAAGGTTCCTCCCACTCTTTTGCTTGTAGCCCAGCCTCTCGGAGTCTCACAACTCGCCTTTGCCTAAAAAGTGCCAGGAATGCCCTTCGTGCTGGCCATCAGTAACATCACTGGCATACCTGACCCCACCAAGCATCCATGACATAGACGGACATGTGGGATTGCCATACTGTCGTAGTGGTTTGAAGCCCGAAAGACTGGGCGCATAGATTCTCTATCCCATGCCTGCCACTAGTTTCCCCACGACCTTGAGGGGCACATGCCCATCTGCGCCTGCCCCGGCAACCTGGAAAGGCAGGATAACGCGCTACATTCCAATGCTTGTCAAGTCGATAGCGCGGAGTTTGCTTACGTTTGCTGAGATGGCATGCCAAAGCACAACCGTGAGGTCTGCACCCACGTCTTGCCGGGCACATGCAAAAAGACGGCTATGATGACACAGGAAACTCAGCCGGATCTTAGGAACGTGCTATGTTATCGGCAACAAGGCCTTCATCAGTACAACAACCAGTTCTCACTACTAAGACTACTCAACTACCAGGCCGCGCACTGGTTCGCAGGCGCGTTTGGCTGCGAACCTACATCATGCGCAAGGTCTTGAGTCTAACACATGCAACCTGTCAGAAGCTAGACACGCGTCCCACAACATTTGAGTTGCATCCTCAGTTAAGCTGTCGCTACAAGGAGGCACCTGATTGAAGGGACATCTGAGGCGCAGTGTGTGTCGGCGGAGGATGTTGAGGATGCATCCTGAAAGGTCAGATGGTGGGCAGCTCGGCCCTTAAAACAAAACTCTTGGCACAAGTGGGGCAAAGTAGATGTGAGAATCAAATGGGGGGAGACATTGCGGCTACAAGCCCTATTGCCCATGTGAATGGAAGCTGTCAGGTGCACGATCTTGCTGCAGGACACGTACACTGTGTATCCAGAAACTAGCTGAATGGGGTTGCCCTGCAGTGTCCCTATCCATTTTGTCCCGGACAAGTGTGGCAGGGTTCATAGGCGAATATACTTCTTCCATTTAAACATGTTCAGGAGATACTGAGAGCACATCAGCAGGCTTATTTCACGTTTAGTCCGCGTGCTAGATAGAACCAGTGGCTGGAGCAGCTCCCCGTCGCCGATCGATTACAACATGTGCTTGACAAAGCGCTAGGGAAGGGACCGGGCCAAACCCACATGTGGACTGGTGCCATAGAGGGCTGATGTTGGAGCTATGCAAATGCACTCCTAGTGATGACTACGTGTCCCTTGACCGTTGAATATACGCACGCCTTTTGATGCAGAACATGACTTGCAGCGGAATCCCTAGATGGACCCTCAAGTGCGGCTGAGCAACGACTGTTGGAATTGTTGAAATTGCTGCGGTTGAGATTGTTGTACCTGTTGCTGGTGCTGTTGTTGGTGTTGAAGATGCTGCTGCATCTGATGCTGTTGTTGTTGATGTAGAGCCTCTTGTTGCTGGTGCAAGCTGGGTGGCTGCATGCCCTGCTGCATACCCGGCTGCGGCATGCCTTGCTGCTGCATGCCTTGCTGCTGCATGCCCTGTTGCTGCATCCCCTGTTGCTGCATGCCCTGTTGCTGCATGC